ATTTTACTATTATTTTAAAAAAAATCTTCTTAATTTTCAAAAACATATTATTAATCATTATTACTATTATTATTTTCAAAAGGATTATTCTCATATTAATTATTTTTAAAAATATTATTATCATTTTCAATAAAATCATTATTTTAAATTGCATTATTATTATCATAATAATCATTTTATATTTATTTAATTCTATAACTTTCATCATTTGTATAAACTTTAACATTTGCATTTATTGGAGTTTCTTAACTATTTTGAATTTATGAACTTTTATAAATGTCTTAACTTTTCTATTTAATTTCTTTATTTTTTTCGCTTTTTTACATGCTTTCACTTTTTCTACTTAAAGAACTTTATTTTTTTCTCATTTAATAATTTTCGAATTAATCGAAAAAATTATCATTATATAACTAAGAATTATTATTCTTTTATTCTTCATTTTATTATTATTATTATTATTAATTATTATTATATTTTATATTTACATCTAATTCTTACTAATAATCATTATTATTACTTATATTTATATTTTATATAGAAGTTTTTTTCTTGGTATAGTTTTTAAGATTTATTATTATTAATAGAGCTTTACCTTGAAAACTAATTCTCTTTTTCGAATTTCATTGTTTCTATATTATTATATTATTCTTATTATTATTCATTCTATTATTATTATTAATTATTAAAAAAGTTATAATTGTTTTATTAATCATAAAAATCTTATTAATTCTCATTTTTATTAAAGCCATTCCAAAATCCATTTTCGTTCTTATCTTATTTATACTAACTATCTTCATTTTATTAACTTTATTCAAAATTTTATTAATTATCTTCCAAAAAGTTTTAATTATTATCAATTTTTTAATCAAATTATTATTCATTATTATCAAATCTTTACTCAATTTTTTTTTCATATTTATTTATAGTATATTTATTTTAATCTTAATCTTATTCTTTTTATTTATATTCTTAATTATTTTCTTCTTATTTTGCACTATTCCAAAATTAATTATCATTAATACTTTATTCATCATATTATTATTTATTTTCTTCTTATTATGGATTCCAAAATTAATCATCATTAATATTTTACTCATTTTATTAGTTATTATCCTCTTAAAAATTTTATTAGTCCCAAAAATAATCATCAGTAGGGAATTAAGTTACATAATTTTTTTCGACATCTTCATTTTATTAATTTTTTTGATCATTTGTATACTCACTTTATTAATCTTAATTAATTTTCTTCTTCTATTATTATTCATTAATTTAACTATCTTAATCAAAGAAATTCTAATCTTAACCAATATCATATTATTAATTTTCGAAATTATGATTTTAGTCATAATTTTAATCATAATATGATTTATTATTATCATTGTAATGCAAATTCTATTATTGATTATTATATTCTTCTTTTTATATTTAACTATTAGAATATTCTTTATTTTCTAATTAATTCTCGTTTTGTTAATTATTATCCCAAAAGTTATTTTATTCAGTTTAATTCGTTTAATAATTTTATTAATTTTAAGAAAAAAAAGAAGGATTTCTATCAGAATTTTTACTTTTTTATGAAATTTAACTTTATAAAGAAACTCTTTTTGGCGTTTATTATTGATTATTTGAATTTTATAAATAATGACTGTTTAAATAATATAAAAATATAAATATTTTAGAAATATATATACATATATATATAAATATATATATATATATATATATATATATATATATATATATATATATATATATATTTGTTACTTAAAAAATGCTGAAATACGGTTTTTAATTTCAATTTTATAATCTTCGAATTCAAAATCTTATTTATATGTATTATTATAGCCAATGATAATAAAATCTAATAATTATTTAACTTAAAAAAGTTTATTTGATAAAAACAAAGTATTATTATCCTAAGGAAGTAATGTAACCGAGTTGATCAAATCTTTAGTAATTTTAGAGTTCAATTTAACTAAAGGCTATAAAAATTAATATAAAGCTATTTTTTGATGTAAATATTAATTTAAATATATATATATATATATATATATATATATATATATATATATATTATTTAATACTATCTTTAGTTAGTATTTCCTGTTAATAAACGTTCATTAAACTCTCATCTATCTTTTTTAAAAATTTATTCAATTATTATTAAGCGATATCTAATTCATTATTATTATTACTATTATTTAATATACTATTATATTAATTTGAACTTTATCTGCTACTTCTCATTTCCCTACTATTTTTAATTTCCCTACTATTTTATTTTTCCCTACTGTTTTCAATTTCATATTCATTTTTTAAATTTTTTATTTCTTCTTAAAAGCTTATTAACTCTTATGGAAAAACAATGCCTTCTTTTTATAAATCTAAATATAATTCATTAAAAGCATTTATATTAGGATACATCAAAGGCCATACTTTTATACATTCAAGTAATAAAAAATAAAACTATTCGAACTTTTCTTATCTTTATTATTAATTTTTTTGTTAGTTATATTTTTAGTCATGTATGTTATATAAAAAATAAAAACCTTAATCTTTTCCAAATATATTTTCACCCCTATTTTAATCACTTGATCCTATATTATGAATTGAAAACTTTCCAAGTAAATCTAATAAATCTTCTGATACTAATTATGCTAATTATTAAGATTTTGTGGACATTGAAACTTTCAAAATCTTTATTTTTAATTATATTAGTTTTTTGATAAAATAAATAAAAAAACTTAAAGGGCTAAATGCTTATTTTATGCTTTTTATTATTTATTTTATAGAGTTGATTTGACATTCTTTATTATACATTTATTATAATTTCTATTTATTTATTTATATTTTTAATTCTATTTATTTTATTTTTTTACATATCTTATGTATTTTCAATGAATATATATATGTTTTCTTAAAAATTTTATTTAGATTAAATACATTAATAAAATATATCATCTAATGTAATCGACATTTTTAATATATTTGATTTTTTTTTTAATATATAATATAAGACTTTAATGTGATTTTTATAATATATATAAATATTATAATATATATTAAATAAAATAAAAATTAATATTATTAATAAAAAAAAAAACCTTTTTTTTTAAAAAGTAAATAAATATTCAATTTAAAAAATATTTTAATTAAACATATATATAATTAATTAGCACATTTTTAAAAAAAAAAGTAAAAAAAAAAAATTCAAAGTTATTTTAATAAGAAAAAATAAACCGAAAGAATCAAAAATTTCGAGTATTTTAATTTATTAATTAATATTCTAAAAATAGAATTTTACATATATATTTTGATGACTTTAATAATAAATTAAAACTTAGAATTACATTGAAAACTCAAATAAAAAATAGTTTAAATTAATTAAATTTTATTAATATTATTATTCTCATTAAATAAAGGTATATATTATTTAATTTATTATTTGTTGATTTTTTAGCTATTATTATCAAAATAATGACTTCCAATATATTATTAACTTTAAGAATGCTTAATTAGATTTTATGAATTTAGAAGTAATTGTTTTATTTATTTCTTTTCATTTTTTAACATATTTATTTGACTTTAACAGTTTTAACACTATATATTATATTTAATTTTATTTTCTAAAATATTTTCATTTAAGAAATTGCCAATTAATTAAGAAGAAGATTATAAAGAATTTTTTTATTTACCTTCTTGACTATCATCATTTTAAATTTCTTTATTTTAATAACTAAGTAATTATTCCTAAAGTTCTATTTTATTTATTTTTTATAACAAAATAATAATAATAATTTTTTATTATTTTTTATATATTTATAACATTTAATTTAAGTTTCTTAGTTTAATGTATCAAGACTTCTTATATTCATTTTATTTTCTTAAATAATTGATTAGTTTTAAATATAAATAATTTCTTTTTATAATTCAATATTTTCATTTTCTAATTATTCAATTTATATTATTTAGCTCTTAATTATTTCATTATCATATTTTACTTTTTAACAATAATTTCCTAAATATTTTTATAAAATTTATATATGTTTTTACACTTTAAATTATTTTATTATTAATTTATATTTAATTTCTATAAATATTAGTTTTAATTTGTTAATTCATTTATATTTTAAATCAATTTCTATTCTACTTGATTATATTATTTATCTAATTAGTTATATAAATTTTTTTATTCAATTATTCTTCGGTTTAATTCTTTATTAAATTCATCTTATTAGTTATATATTTAATATAAATTTTAATACTATTAATTTTAAAGTTCTATTTTTTATTGTAAATCTTCAATTTTTTATATGAGAAAATCACTTATTTCTAATAAATTTAAACTTTCTTCTTCTTTTTTGATAATTTCTAATATTGCATATTTAAGTTCAACTTTTTAAATATATTTATATAAAATTTTATATAAAAAAAATTGGTTTAGTTTTATTTAGTATTAATAATAATATTTAATTTACTTTCTGTATCTTCTTCAACACCTTAAATTATTCTTTTCTAAGCATATTAGGTATTTAACTATAATTTTTTTTCATTTAAAAATAATTTTATTTCGAGAATATCATCTTAATTTATGTTTAATTTTAAAATATCCATATTCACTATTTTGTGTATTTTTAGTTTTTATATATTATTATCTATTATATATATATATATATTATAAAAATATAAATAATTTAAAAATTTTAAATTGTATAATAGATAATCTACAGTTTGTTCCTTTATGAGGTCATTATTTTTTGGCGGTTTTTTAAAAAATTATTATTACATGTGTATAAATTTATTATTATTTATTATTTTCTTTAAATAAATGAATTAAAAAAAAAAGATTTTTTTTGTTTTTTTTTCCATTTTTATTTAAATTATATTTTTTTAGTGGAAAAAAAATTAAAAAATAAATATATATATATAAAATTATTTTTACTTATAAAAATTTATATATAAACAATTAATTTTTAATAATATAACATATAACCAAGATTTCAATAATTTTTAATAAAAAAAATTCTATTTTAAATTAAAAAATATATACATATTGATTTTGTAAATAGGTAAAATATTAATATATTATATTATAATAATATATTATATTAATAAAATATATATATATATATATATATATATATATATATATTACTAATAAAAATAATATTATGTTAAGAGAATACTTATTAGACTTAACCTAAACAAATTCTAATTTAAAAAAAAAAGTTTATTCTTTTCTTATTGAAAATAATATAAGCGTTACAAAAATTCAAAATGATTAATATAGTGCAAAGATAAAATTAAAAACTTAACAAATGAAACAGAATAAGAAACTAATGTTTCTAATATATAAAACATAAAAAATAAATTAATAAATAAAAAATAAATTAAATCCTATAAAACAATTAAGAAATCAAATAATAAGTGATAAACAAATAAAATATTTAAAAAACTTAAAATATAATTACACCTGATAAATAAAATGTAATATAGTAAATATTACCAAATATCTAAATAATATTAAATACTAATAGATAATCAACTAATAAATAACTTAATATCACAACAGTAGAGAAAATATTAGAATATTAAAATGAAAGATCTTAAGAAAAAAATAAATTAGCAATTAGTCCTAAAAAACAAAGCATAGAATAAAAAAAGTAAATAAATAGTAATGAATATAATAAAAAATAATACATAAGTCCGAAACCATAAAAAATATAATAAAATAAATAAACAATAATAACTAACAAAAAACAAAATACAAAAGAAATTAATATAATAAATAATAGTCCAAAAATCTAAAATAGTAAATAAATTTAAAATGTTTAATAAAAAATAGAAAATTTTTATATATAAGAAAAACAAGTAAATTAAAAATACTAAGATTATTTAAAAAAACAAGATAAAGATAAACTTAAAAAAAATAGATTAAAAAAAACAAAATTCGAATAAATATCAAAATCTACTTTTAAAAGTCTATCACAAAAAAAACTAAGCCAAAAAAAAGAAATTACTTTTTTAAAGAAAAAATTCTAAATCATTAACTCCAAAAAAAAATAGAATAGTTAAGAAAATATTAAAATAAAAGAAATTAAAACTCCTTAAAAAAAATAAGAAATATTAAAATAAATATTTAATAAATAAATAAAAGAGCAAGTAAAAAATATTTCAGATAACTTTTATTTATTAAGTAGTTATGAATTACTTAATTATTATGATTTTTTATAAATAAAAGCTAAATAATTACATTCATAATATATTAAAACTATATCATTTTGAAAATAATAATTTCTTTTTTTTTTTTTTTTTTTTTTTACT